TTTAAGATCATTTTAGTGAAAGTTTCATGTTCCTATCTCATAGAATTTAAGAACAATGATGAATAAATAATTTTCGAGCAAAATTTAAATGGCCGGCTGAATATATTACCGCAGGAGCCGCGGCCGCGGAATTTAAATGACCACGTCAAAGGGTTAAGCCGTGGGTCCCGTGTCGTAGCTTTATGGCACATAAAAGAACCTCATATCTCCTAAGGAGGTCACTGAGCAAAATTCAAGGACATTTCCCGCCCGACAGTAGTGTCTAACGCTTCTGATAGATGGGGGAAGCATTATAGATACCGCTAAGCCAGTAGAGGCCGAACTCGCTGGCTTGGTCGGGACTGATGGTAAGCACCAGTATTGGTAGGGTATAGAGACGGGTAGAATATCATAGAGGGAAGCACAGTGGACCAATACTGGTCTAAGTGCATGGGGAAATCCACCCTCTCCAATAACTAACTAACTGACTGACTGACTGACTGAGTTTTGCGTGGTGATTTTGGAACAGGATGTACTGAAGTACATGTGTTAATAAAGTCAGACTCAAGAACCCCCCCACACACACACACACACACACACACACACACGCACGCACGACCGACTATATGGAGTTGAGGCCTTCTTCAGAATGAAATATTTAACAAGCCACATAACAAATTTCCAGCATTATATAGAACCAAAGGATCAGTACTGTGTTCACAAGAGCCAGCCACTGCACCTTATCATGAATCCAGTCCACACTCCTTACTGTCACTTTAAAGAGACCCAAACAAAACTACAGACAGTATTATAGTTTTGTATATTCTAATCTGTTGTCATTTATAGATAACAAGTAGAAGTAATTTGCTGTAGAAATTTGTCATTTAATGAAATGTAGTATAATCTAGTTAGTACAGTTGAAGGGCTCTGTAATGGATTTCCTTTTTTACTGAAAAGATTGTTTGACATCATTACAGATCTTCTGGTTGATTCCCCCTACAGAACGGAATATCCAGTTGTATGAAAACTGGGTTCTGTCTGGAAAACAGTCTGATGTATTCTTTGGTGACACTGTGGATAAGTGTGGCCGAGTGACTTTAACAGCTGGAAATACATTCTTCATTCCTACTGGTTGGATTCATGCAGTCTACACACCACTAGATTCACTTGTTTTTGGTGGAAATTTCCTTCATTCTTTTGGAATTGAGAAACAGTTGAAGACTGCACAAGTTGAAGATACCACACATGTATGTTACAAGTTTTGTTGAAACCTTTGACAGGTAATAAGAGAACTTCACTTTCACAGAAGTTGTAATAATGTATTGGGGAAGTGTATGGTGTATTGTTTTCTTTCAGAGGTGGGTTACTTAAGTACTCTTTCAGTATAAGATGGTAGAATGGCCAGTGAAGTTGAAAGTATTTAGGAGGAGGCACCCATGGCCTGATCGGGGTACTATCTCTGAATTCCCTAAGGGGCTGAGGAAAATCACAAATAACCTCATTCAGGATAGTCTGTGACATGTCTTTCTCACTTTTACATTTACTGCTAGCTTGGTATGGTACCACCTACTGAGTTGTGAACATGTTAGAAGCTTATAATAGATTAAGAACATCATATATACAGTAGAACTTGGTCATAACGTCATCAAAGGGACCTAAAAATAGTGTCGTTATAAACGAATGTTGTAACCGAAATGGGCACTTCCACAGTAGCCTTATGTTAGTCACGTAAAAATCTACCAAAAACCGAGTTAAAATGTTGCATTTTTTAGTGAAATACGTAGTTAAGTACAGACTAACGTAACATTAACATGGAATTGCCCAAATGTGTAATATGAAAGACATATTACAGCGCTTTTCACTGACAATACACACATTTTCATGGTTTTTGTTTGCTCTAGGCAGATGGCTTGTATAACACTCCAGGTCACAACCACTTCCAGCTCATTCACATTCATGTATCATCATACCAACTGATTCTATGCAGTCTCAATATTGAAAAATCATAATATAACCCCCAGAAAAGATAGTCCCAAGCTAAGGTGGCCAATTTTTTTTGTTCATCAGCGTTCATTAATCGGTAGGTCACCCTTCTGACAAATTCCATTGTCAGGTAACAACTCCATGCCCAATTTTACTTAGATCCATTCTGATATTATCCACCATTTTATGTGCTAAGTGCCGTTTTCTATAGAGATTAATAAGCCAGAATTTTGCAGTGCATTTATTATTTCTGCAAAGAATTTGTTTGTCTCATCATGCTCTGTTTTCTCCTGTCTCTGTTGTTTCATCACTCAGGTCCAGATATTTTTCTTGTATTTCTTTGTATTTTATGAGTACTATTTTGACTGTTTTAAGAACATATGACATAATATGTTTATTGGTTCAGGTTCCACAGAAGTTCCGGTACCCATTTTTCACAGAGATGCTGTGGTATGTGCTTGAGCGTTATGTCCACTGCCTGTTAGGACGTTCTCACTTGGATGAAGGAGGTGGTGGAGGAGCAGGGAGTCCTGATTCGGACACTCCAAAACCTCAGAATTCTCCTCAACAAGCTCCAGAAGACCACATTCATTTAACACCACAGGTATGGAAGGTTGCGTTAAGGGTATCCTTTGGCAGCTGCAAGATATAATTGGATGTGTTATTTTTCTATACCTCTTTTACTTCTTAGAGAGGTGATTCCTAATGTTTTCATTAAATAATGTGTCGATAAACCATGTGTTACCTTCTTACCTTTGAAATTGATGTGCTGAAAGTTGACAGAAGAGGGTAATTCTTAGTTCAAGTATCATGTACTATGAAATACATTTTTGTGTAAATGTTGAATTTTCGAGGTTGGATGTGGGGGATTTTTTTTCCCAATTCAAGTGTTAATTTTTCATCTTGAACTTTGAGAATTTTCATGTAACTGCTTTTTATTTGTGTGATAGTGTGAAAATCAATCGTAATTGTTGGCAGTGCCAGCACAAATCATATCAGCAGCGTATGTTTCTCATTCCCTTTTTCTGTCCATTGTGAAAAAGGACATGACCCTAAAATTGAACTTTGTAATATGATCTTTGAAATGTACTGGAAACAAGTCTGATATCAAAGGTGTGTTAAGTACACTTAGCGCATTGCGAATAGTGGCCATGTTTGTAAGTCATCATAGTAAGCGAAGTTATGCAGTAGAAAATATTGTCGTTATTGTATTGATTCTTTAAACTTTTTGAGTTAGTCGTTTTTATTGCATCTTGATCCAAAGAAGTTTTTCTTGCATATCTGTAATGTGTTTTAAATCATATTGTTTTCAGTACAGTGTTCTTATCCAAGTTATGTAGTTACGATGTGTAATGTGAAGCTGATGACTGAAAATTTACATAAATTAATGATTCCCAAAGTGTTCACAGAACTTTTGGTTCTGTGGTAAGATAGTGGAGGTATTGCAGATTTTTTGTTAGTATGACAAGCCTGGAAGCTTTTTCTGCACCCAGTGAATCCTCAAACTGAAGTTTTCAGTGTAGAATTTTATGGTTTTCCTTTTTATTCTATTTTAGAATTTAAGTAATTCACATTGCAGATTTTTTCATTGATTCATCCTCAAGGTGGTGGTATTGTTCAGTACCACTGATGCAATATCAACTTCCAGTGCAAGTTGTTATATGTTCATTCATGTTACTTCAGATTCTACACTGCAGCAATGATTCAACAAACTTGTTCTCTTCCTTCATATATATAAAACAAAAACTAAACTCTGTGGCTTGAGTCCGCAAGCAAACTAACCAATTGAGCGACCACCACTTGTCGGCGAAGTTAGTGCCAACTTTAGCTGATAGAGAGTGTTACATGGTCAGCGCAACAAATCCTCATGGCCGTTAATTTCGGTTTTCTAGACCAGAGCTATTTCCTTGAAGTAGTTCCTCAGTTATCCTCATGAGGCTGAGTGGACCCTGTTCGAGACCCACTACCTCTCAGAAAATCTGGTAGCACCAGGAATTGAACCTGGACCTCTGGATCTGTAGGCAAGAACTCTGACCAATAGAACACAGAGGTGGTCCCTTCATATATATAGCTTTCAGTTTTCTTTAATATTTGTATCCCATCTTAACACTTTGAGGACCGGCAATTTAAATATTTAAATCACCCTGGGGACCGGCATTTTGAAATCTAGTACCCTAACTTGTGAACTCTTCACTTTAAAAATTAATATAAAATCTAATTAATTTTATGAACTAAAATTTTTGGAGAACACCAATGCTCGTAGAAGTGCTTGAGAGTGTGATATTTCTGGAAACATTCCCCCTTTGTGAAGTGGCATTACACAGAACTTGCAAATGTAGGTAGTCATACTCCTTTTTTTGTGAACTGCGCAAACACGGCATTGCCTAGAAGGATGCTTCCCCTTGGAATGTTCGCTCTTCACAATTTTCAGGAGAGTATGTTTCCACATATCACCCGAGAGTCACCGAGGGGGGTCCACATGAGGCCTGTGTGGGGTGGGAGTTGATGGGCCCGGTCGAACTAAGTCCGTGTCTGACTCTCATTCTGCCACCACCATTTGGTCTGTAGTCCAGGCCTTTGCCACATTCAACAGAAATGCTTTGTATTTCAGTTTCGACTCAGGGTTTAGAATTTTTGTAAACCAAAAATGAATTGAAAATGGCACAGTTTATAAGCCACAAGGCAACTTTCTTTATCCACTTTATTGTTTTCCTAGGAAGAGAATAATAGGCCAAGTATTGATCTGCTCTGTCAACTCCCTTTATGAACATATTATGCTCAGAAATACAAATAGGCTTCTTTACCTGTCCATGTCTCCTTTGAATATCAACCATGCTCGAATTGTGAATTGTGGAAATCATATTCACAACAAAAGTATCCCTCCAGGACTGAAGAATAATATCCCCTTTCCTCCTGAATGTGGTTTCACCATGTTTCAGGGATTTAGATTCCTCTTTCAGATCTGGAGGAAGGCCTCTGTTGACCCTAATTGTTCCACAAACACGTACTTTTCTCGAGAGAAGGTATTCTGCAGTCACCACACTGTTATAATAAAGACATGGTAATGTTGATCAAGAGAGGGCTCCAAAACGAAAACAATAGTTTCTTGTAATTTTTTGCCTTCACCAGAATAAATTTCTAAATTTCCAATATAGCCTGAAGTGCTTTCAGTAACTACATGAACAAGTAGGTCATACTTTCTTGTTCTCCGAGAGATCGCTTGGTCTTTGACCGCTTTTGTCCTTTATCCATATTGCACTACTAACTTCCTGCCTGGTAAATACAGCTTGAAGGGACAAAGATCATTTTCCTTTGGAGTGGGGAACCAAAACAGCGAGGTCAAGTTACTGACGACTAAACCAACATTCCGGAGTTTTATTACGTAGTAGTCATGCAGTTGTGTGGCGCCAGAGCAAGGTATAGTGTGTTACAGCCTAACGTCTCCTGAAATCATGATATTATGTGACCGGTCCGCCACGTTTAAAAGTGAAAAGCATTATAGCATACAACTGGTCCTTTAAGTGTTAAACACAGTCTGGCTCCTGTTGAAATAGGTAATTTCAGATCACGGGATTCTCAGGTGTTCCTTTTCTTCATTTTTGCTTTCTGCCGTTTTTTTCCATCATGTATACCATTCTGTAAGGATCTCTTTTTCATGAGGAAGAAGACAGTGAGTTTTGAATACCTATGACATCTTCATTTGTTTCACCTCATACTACTTTTGCTACATCTGTGTGTGTGTACCACAGCAGTTCTCAATTTCAATCTCTTTTACAGTTATTGAATTTCTAGTGCTTAAGGCCCTCTGCCAATAGAAACTCCTGTCTCACCAGCAGGGATCTTTCCTGTCTCTGTGGTACTTTATCACAGTTTTGGTATGACTTACAATTTGTGTATCAGTACAGAGTACTCTTAAGATGAAGGCTGAATGAATTCTGTTTCTGTATGCAAGTGAAGGTGTGTGACCTAGAATCATATACATCCATGTAGTCCCTGTATGGGATCCAGATGGTAATAAGGGCATTAGTTTGACAGTATTTTTGGCTGGCAGCTCCAATATCATCAATCATAAGCCACCTGAAGCCTTGTATGCCTATGCCAAGACCAGTATTGTTGGTTACAAGAGGGCATCTGTTTGCCTGTGTAAATTTACTCTTGTATTCCACCTTGATGTCTCATACATCCCACCTGTGACTGTTATGAGAGGCAAGCCATTTGCCCATACATGTTGCTTGTTCTTTGCTGAGCCCACTTTCACTTTTCTGGAGTACATGTTTTATACTGATAGGTCATTTGTTCAGGGATCAACTGGATGCAGCCTTGTCTATGAAAACCAAGTTTTGTCATACTGTCTCCATGGCCTTGGTAGCATGTATATGGACAGCTGTATGCCATCTACTGAGCTCTCTTGATTTCATCAACAACCTTGGCAATTTCACCTCCGTTACACAAAATGCATAGTCTCCAAGGGCATGTTCCAGACCAAGCAGTCGCATTCGGGATTGTGCATCCAGTGTTCATCTGCACAGGGCAGGGAAATCTGTTGTATTTTGTTGGGTACCTGGCCATACAGGTCTGCCAAGGAATGAGCTCCATCAGAGCTGAGAAGATTGTTGTCACACGGTTTTCCGATCAGTCACACTTGTTAAGAGGTGATCTGACATCTGTTAGTGATTACCATTCTACACATTCTGCAGGAATGGCCACATGGGGATGACCCAACATTCCATCTTATTGACACATTACAAGACATCTTCCAGGAAATGATCACCCTAACTTATTCCGTGTTGTGGAGTTCCTTTGTGGTGAAAAGATTGACAGGTCTACTTAATTGACTTTGTTTTATTCAAAGTTTGAGCTTTTTTTTTTTTGTCTGCACTGTTGGTTTAAAACTTGCCCATATACAGCCTGTTTTTATTCAGACTTTTCAGCACAACATTATTTTATTGGACTTTTACCAGATGTTAATAGACAACTTCATCTGACACACATCTGCCTCTAGTTTATTTCATATTGGGTTTCATAAAATGTGATCTAGTCTGACATTTGTCTAGGCATGTATAGCCCTTGATTATGATACACCTCCAAATCCACATGCAGACTGGCTATAACTACTTTTGCTAAAAATTAAGTTGGAAACTTTAGAGCCACCTGCCACAATCCTTGTTTGACATCATCCTAAATGGATGATATATAATCTCTACAGTAAATATGTCATAAGTTAAGTGGATTACCTAACTAGCTTGAGCTGAGTTTAATTTCTGTGATAAAAACATCAGAATTAAATGAAAGTGAGTATATAACTATGATTGTCAGACAGTGATAGCTCTAGTGTGGGATTATTCACCATTAGGAGTATGTGATAATGTGTAAAGTTTCTTTGCATGTATATTCTGCTGTTGTAAGTTTGTAACAAATGTCTGAACTGTGTATGTGAATTTGAATTACAGGAGCTGCATGGACTTAAAGCCATTGTAATGTTCCTCCATTCACTACCCACCAACAAGAAGAATGTACCAGAATTAATTCGAGATCCTATTGCCCTTATTAAAGATGTACGCACTCTTGTGGAACAACATAGGTATGACAGTCCTGAGGCTGCTGTCACTGGTAAACCAATATTGAGAGGACCAGATCAGTCTGACAGACTAATTTTGGTGAGTATCTCTGCTTATGAAGATGCTACCTGCAAATCATTAATCTATTTACTGCCATGTAGATTTGTGTGAGAATGTCCTGTGTGAGGTGCTTTCATGCTTTAAATTGAAGCTATTTATGTTTGAAGAAGAGTTTTATCTTCTGGGATATAATGGTATGTTGATTGGTGAACGTTAACTGAAGTTTTGGTGGAACATGTCACCTCCATGTTCAGGGCTGAAGAGTAAGCCAAGCAAGAAATCACCATGAAGCAGGCAGCATGCAGAGCTCTGCTTATATCTGAGAAGATAGAACTCTTCATAACCACTGCTTTGGGAACATCAGATCCTATTCATGTTTTATTCTTATAATGGAAGATCACTTAAACAGGTCAGTTTTTCACCATAGGTTCAGTATCTGCATACAACTCATGTATGTCACAATATACCACATTGATTCATTGAAGCAACTGGTTTACAAAGTGGCAAGGCCATGCTTTCGCTTTGGGTCAAAAATACTCCAACCATTCTTGTCACCTGCACATTGAGATCAACATTTTGGAGGAAGAAAGTTACATTAATTAATTTTTATGGCTGTTGTAATTAATAGTAACATTTACATTTCTCCCGTGTTGCTTGCACTATGAACTTCTATCCCCTATCCCTTCCCTTCCACGGTAATGATCAAAATTTAAACACTTTTTCCCCACATTAGCCCAGGAATCGTGGGCGTCTTCCTTTGACCAAGAACTCTGGTAACCGTAGTTCAACGCCTTTGCCACCTGGCAGTAAGCAAGGGAAACATCGTGCAGGAGGTAAAGGTGGAACCAACCAGGGCGGAGGGGGTCCAAGGAGAAGGCGAACACGATGCAAGAAGTGTGAGGCTTGTCAGAGGAGTGATTGTGGTGATTGTTCATTCTGCTTGGATATGGTCAAGTTTGGTGGTTCAGGTCGAGCAAAACAAACATGCATCATGAGGCAGTGCTTGCAGGTATTGTTGCATTTTTATAATATGTAGATTCCTGATTGCCCAGTGTGGATTGGAGGTGAATTTTCATGGCTAATCATTAAAAGGAATATGTAACTAACTTGTGAATTGAGATTTATAAAATGTCCCATACATTAAGAGTATTATACTTCACTGCAAATGGTAGAAGTATGGGTGTGATTTCTGAGAAACTCCTGTGCTATTTGTACACATGAAAGAAAACCCAAACAAAGCCTTCTTGAGTTTTCAAGTACATACCCAAATGTGAAATAAAACTCCATTTGTTCTATAGTCGTTGCTTTTTAAAAAGTTATTTCATATTAAGTTTATCTTTTGACATTGGACACACCAGTGGGTTTTCTAAACAAAGCCGTGGAATAGTGTATACTACAAATTTAACCAGTTCCAAAGTTCTGTATAAGGTAGTAGACTCTTCACTTGTAGACCTACATGTGTTCTGCACGCATCTTGAATGTAACTTAGTAAATAATTATTGGTGCAAGAAATGTTCTGAACAGAAGTTGTGAAGAAAATTGAAACATAGTTTATTCTCACATTTTCTGCGAGTCATATGTTTCCTTGATAATTAAACAATGTGAATACCCTAGAATTGTTATGCTGTCTGAATACATTCTGTAAGTTTGACCATATTATGAAGCTTCATTAGTGTATATATTGTTTGGTGATGCCACCAGACAATGCATTCTTGAATTTCATACACAGTGATTTATAATGAAGTCTGTCAATAATGTCATTAATATGCAGAACCAAATTCAGAAGTTAATGTAGAATAATGGTTATGGCCACACTGTGCCTGGGATATGCCAAAGCATCTGTAGTACGCTAGTGAGTAGTTCATCTGTGCACACTTCATGAAGCTGAACAGTACTTTCAAGCCAGGAAAAGATGTGTTTACAAGTGAAGGTCCATTTTCAAGAACTTAAACTGGGAGGTGGATTGCCAGTTGCATTTGATCTTTCCTGATGGCATAAATGATGAGTATCCATTTTCACCCAGCCTGTTCTCTGTGAAGTTCACCTATAAGTTACTGTGAAGGTTTGTGGGAATTGGGTAACATTCAGATGTTACCCAATTTATGGATGAAGGATATTTTATTGTGCACAGTTGGCCAACAACTTCCGTTCAGAACCTTAATAAATGTTTTCTTTATGTCCTAAACCTTCCATTGGTGAAGGAGCTCTGAAGATCTTAAAATACATTTTCAAAGTGTAATGGAGTTAACTGGAGGAAAAACTGAATTGGAACATTTGATGCTTGTAGCCAATGCTCCCAGTTACTGCAGCCTGTGCCAGTTGCGGACTTGATGGCTGGGGCCAGCAACCTGTCATTCCAATTCAGAAGATGAACAGAGAGATACCTAGTTCACTAATGGAGTGCAGTGTGTGTTATGAGATTATCCATCCGGACTGTGTTGCCAAACTCGTGAGTATCTGTTATGAGCTGTCATGAGTAATAGTTACCACTCATGCTTCATATTTCAGAGGATCTGCTAGATTTTTCTTCAGTCGCTTTTGACAGATAGTAGGATAGTACCTTAATATAGGTCTTTGGCTACTTCTGTTTCCTCTCTGATTCATTATTCATAATCATCTGCTCATTTGTTGTTACACTGCTAATGCAGCTAATTAAAGTGCAATAAATTAAAATAAGGACTAGGCATATGCAAGTCTTGAATGTTTTAGGTCAAATCAAGAAAATAAATATTGTGAGGTTTTTCAGTCTTTGAATTTTTATTCTCAAGGTCAAGAATTTCAAGGTAACTGCTTTTACTGTGAGCAGCAGTAGTCTCCCAGTTCATCAGAAATTTAGTGGTTGGCAGTACTAGTGTGAATCAACTTTCAGCAAAACCTGTCTCATCTCCTCGTGCCCATCGTGAGAATGGACATGGCCGTAGAATTGAATTTTTGAAGTACTGGTTTGTGAAATTTTTATTGAAAAAGAATCTGATGTACACTTAGTACATTATGACAAGTGGTTGATATTTTAATTTGTGATTACAGTAAAAAATTTTATCTGGTAGAGAAAATCCCCTTTCTTGTTTTGATTCTAAAAATATTCCAGACTTTTGTCTTGATCTTGCCTCACAGTGGAAAAATAATTCCTGCACAAGCCTGCTTACAGCTATACCTAGTGTAATGGGGTATTAGTACTTACTGTTCTACAGTAATGTCTTGTGTTTAAACACTTAGGAATGTGTGAGTGGCAGCCACGGAATATACAAATATTATTACACTGATCAACTCAAGGAGAATGATATGAGGACATGTAGCATGCATATAAAAGTGAGCTATGATACAACATTTTACTTGGGACAGCCATAGATGAGAGAATAATTGATTCTTAAAGATGTAAGTTGTGAGGGTGTAATTTGAATTCATCTTCCCCAGTACATGCACTTGTGAAATTAGTAATGAGCCTCTGGGTTCTACAAGAGAGAATTTTTTGACCAGCCACCAATAGTTTGTCAAGAAGGACTGTGTTCCATGCAGATGGATAGTTGGCTAGTTAGCTTGTGTTTTCATAACAAGTCCAGTTGTAAGTTAATTCTGGGGTCTGTGTGGGATGGTGGCAGTTTTCTGTTGAATTTTGTTATTACAACAATCATTTAGTTGTAAGCATATTGTCATGTGATTGAGTGACTATATACAGGGTTTGAATCAATAATTGGATTTATTGAACTCTTATGGCACATAACTACAAATAACTACAGTGTTAATGCTAAATCATGCACTCTGCAATTCACTGCAGAATGTACAGAGTCTTTCCAGGCTGCTGTATATTCACTGATTGTCCCCTGGTAATGGCTTCCAATGCCGTAGCTTTCTCAGCTTCTGTGTTTATGTCCTTATTGGCCTGTGACTGCCTCACAGCTAACTCCTACTGTTCTAACTAGCATCTCAAGACTCTTAATCACAGCTGGTCCTTGTTACATAGCCTCAGCACAGACTGCATAGAAAACACCTCTCCCAGCAGTTCTTCAGTTGTTGCGTCATGTAGCTATCTCATGAACCGTGTAGAGAACACCGCTTCTCAGTTACTGCATTGTAGCATCTTATGAATTTGTCGCTAGCAACAGGCATATTTGCAGACCCATTACATAACTGGCTCTGTTGGGTTCACAGTTCTTGCCTTGAGCAAATATGCCACATTATGTCATTCAGTGGGATTTTGGAGTGTAAAATTGACTTCTATGTTGTTTCTGCAGTGTCCTGGTATGGAAGGAGTTGTAAACGAAGACCTGCCCAACAGTTGGGAATGTCCCAAGTGCTGCAAGGAGGGGAAGAATGTTGAGTACAGGGTGAGTGAATGTTTGTTGTTATATCCCTAGGTACAGGAAAGGTAGTCAGAATGTCTATACTTCTGTGTGCCAAAAATGATAGCAATACATACCATTACTAAATGTTCGTAATATGTACTTTTGTAGAGTTTTGCAGCATGTGTGAAACACTTATTTTTTTAATTGCCAGCTGCAGTCAACTAATGTGTTTTGTGTGATCACACCACCTTACAAATGTAAATGTGTGTGACTGTGGCTTTCTTCTCATGAACAAGCATTAAATGGGTTTGTGAGGGAATAGCAAAGGTTGTCTGATAGTAATAGTGGAAATTGGAAAATAGGTAAAAATGTTTTAAAATGACTGGGGGAGGGTGTGGCTGTGTTGCCAATGCCTACACCTTTATGACATGAGTTACTTAATGTTAGACGCACAATAGACTATTAGTCGCGGTGCATGGAGAAACCCACCCTCTCCAATAATAATAATAATACTTAACATTACCCAATCAAGTCTAAGCAGAATCTGGAATTGACCCCAGCCCACTTTATTGTTAGTTTGCTGTACATACAGCATTAGAGGGCACTGCTGATACACTACTGCAGCAGAGATTTCTACACACTGCAGTTGACGCCCATTTATGAATATTAGTGTGTATGTTGTGAGTATAAACAGTGATTTGTTGCTTTTGATGTATTGAAGTATATGCCAGGTATTGCAGAAGTGATTGTTAAGTTTTATGAACCATGTGAAAATGCTGAAGTTGTAAGAATGGAATGTTCTGACAGTAAAACAGAACTTCTTTTGGCTTATTTTGGACTTTACCCATNACCCATCGTCTGGTATGTAAAAGACAAAAGACCACGACGTTTCGGAGACTGGATCTGTCTCCGTCTTCAGGTGGATAAGGAAGGATAAACCTACTCAGGTGGGCCCGTTGGAAAGAGCTAGTCTCAATCACTGGACAAACTCCGGTCTGTAGAAAAACAACCTATGAACAACCAACAACCGGTTCCATCAGTGGGTTGTTTTTCTACAGACCGGAGTTTGTCCAGTGATTGAGACTAGCTCTTTCCAACGGGCCCACCTGAGTAGGTTTATCCTTCCTTATCCACCTGAAGACGGAGACAGATCCAGTCTCCGAAACGTCGTGGTCTTTTGTCTTTTACATACCAGACGATGGGTGAAGTCCAAAATAAGCCAAAAGAAGTACAGTATACACCATCGTCAGGATCCTTTCAAGTCTCTCTGAGTAAAACAGAAGCTTGAATTAATTGCCAAATTTAGAAAGGTGGAATTGGTGACAAACTAGCCAAAGATTAAGCCATAATGGTTACAAACCAGATGTGACATAATGAACAAGAGCAGTTTGTATTGATAAGGAAGTGCAATAATGATTCTGTTTGTTTTAAACCTAAGTTCATACAAAGAGTGCACCTGCACTGGTTCAGTTAGAAATACAATGGAGGACGGCCCACCTCTGATCCCATGTGTGCACATAGTCAGATTCTTTAATGAAGAATTGAGTTTGGAAGGTCATTTCAGAGCCTTGTATGTGACTGACCAGATTTAAACAACATTATGATATTCATGAAATTGCTGTCCTGGTGGATCATATTAGTGCTGCAACTGATTTCTCTTTCTGTAGAACTTCAGAATTATGTGCTAGAAGAACAGGAAACTGGAAAATAAATAGATTCTAAAGGGTTCTGATGATCGATGGTGTATAACACTCAGAATTACTGGGTTTTTGTACTTTGTCCATCGTCCGGTATTCTAGAAACTAGAAGAAACTTTTAGGAAACTGAATCTCTTTCTGTCCTCAGGTGATTGAGGTTAGCTCTTTCTAAGGGGCCCAACTAAGTATGTGTCTTCTACCCATCACCTGAGGACATAAACAGATCCAGTTTCTAGAATACTAGACGATGAACAAAGTTCAAAAACCCAATAATTCTGGAAAATAAATGTATAATGATAGTGAGTCTGGATTATATTGGAAAGACAGTCATGTAAGAACCTATGCTACTTAAGAAGAAAAGTGTTCCTTGAAGCATAATGTGTCTGAAGAACATCCTATGACCATATGTTGTTTAAATGCATCTGGAAACAACAACAAAATTTGTGTTAGTTAATAAAGGGTGTCAAGACAAACATCATTCTGGTACATTATTACAGCCAGAAAGGAGCTTGAATGGATAAAGACATTTCTGAAAATTTCCTTCATGAGAATCTTTTATAAGTTGAGTGTCCTGAAAAACAAAGTGAGAAAGCTCTGCCTCAGAAAGCATTGTTACTGCATGAACCTTCTCATCCCAGTGTTGGTATCACCATTGTAGAGTTTTTGCCTCCCCAGTGTCATAAACATAATACAGTTATGGATCAAGACTTGTGTCAGTGACACTGCTGTGCTGACCTTGATGTCTTATTTAGGAAGGTAATGTCTTTATGACATCCTTTTAAAAAAGATTGTATTAGATGCTATATTTATGATGTCTCAGACATTGCCATCAGGTAATGCTTGTTCGGTAGTGGGGAAATTTCATCCAGATCTAGAGGAAGATGTTTTTCCATATTTTGCCATCAAAGAAGTAAAGCCTTAAATTACTGATGTAGTGAATGTTTTGAAAGGGTTTGAAAATCTCTGAAGAAAACAGATGTATGGCTGCAAAGTGACATGTGAACTTGGCTGCCAGTAATGACTCATGAAAACCCAAGTTAACTTTTTCCTTCACCAAACATAAGAATATGTAATAACATACTGAAATATGTTAGGTATAGAACAAAGAGGTGCCACAAAAGCACGTATACTCCAGTGGTAGTCTGAAAATCAGAAAATGGTTTTGGAGGCCCGTGGCCAGTCAGCCACTAATTATTCCGACGTACACACAATTCATATCTGTGGGTACATAAGATCAGGTACTAAAACTGGGAAAACTATATGCAAATGGAAATCATTGGGGTGAGTGGTTGCTTTTGCTCAATCTCTTTATTTTTTTATCAAGTGAATAGTGTCCAAATAAATTACCACCATAACAGCTTTAAAGAATTCTTACACATTATAACCACCTTACAGTAATTGTGTAAGTGTGAGAAACTTCCATGTCGTGTTGCAGCTGTTTGCATTCCGCTATCTAAAGCTGCACAAACTCACATGAACCAAAATTACAGAAATTTTAAGGTAACTTAGACATGAAGTTTTATTAAAAATAAACTGCTTGATCAGAATAGGTTTTTCCACACAAATGTATGTAGTAATTATTGCTGGTTTTATATCTTCAAATAATGAACATGTTACATTTACCTCATATTTTTAATATGTTTATTTGAATTGTTTTATTTAGCCTCGTCATTTTAGAGCAAGACAAAAGTCATCAGACATCCGTCGGATGTCTGTGAGCAGTGATACAAATTCAGCATTGTTGGATGCAATTAAGGTTGAGGGAATGAAAGTGGAACTGGATGCAGTGGCAGCTATAAACACTACACCAGGTTGTGAAGATTTTGGTCGTCCACTCACCCCACGGGAAAATCCGTCTTCTGTTAGCCCAATAGCAGGTGATGCAGCTCCTGCAAAGAGGCCAAAGTTAGAACCAGATGATACTTTTAATGAGGTTAGTAGTAAAGTTACTGTAATGATTTAAATTTGGCATGACATAAATTATATTCTTTTGCATATTCTTTGTACAAAGACAAATTTTCATATGCCAGTTCTCACATTATTGCAAAATGTAAAGTAATAATAGACTTTAGCATGTTCTGATCAAATCCATGGCCAGGAATTGTCTATAATGTAACTATCTCTTTTGAAAAAGTAAATCTGATGAATTTCCTAGCTATGCCTGAATGTGTTAAATGCTTCTTGGGACAGGAAACAAATGCTGAGTTGTTGGTATTAAATATCAGAACTCCATGCATGACAACATTCCTCAAGCCATCCGAGTTCCAAAGCCTGTTTGCAGACAGACTGTAAGGCTGGAACCACACCAAGCAGTCACAGCAAGTCAGGACTGTTCAAGACATCACGAGTCACATCTTTTTCAGGAATATGTGTAGAATTATATGAGGCCGCTTACATTGACCTAACAAGATGAGACACATGAGATGCACAGCTAGTTGTGCATGGTGCAGTCAGACTGTCCCTGCCTGGTCCAGTTAAGACTGGGACCTCATGCAGTAATGATGGTGTGCTACATAATGGCTGAACAACTATGGTCAGATTCCTGACGGGGGGAACAGATTATGTCATCTCACTTACACGTCATGGAAAATTCCAAGGCCCAGGTTTCTTATCAGTGGTGCCAGAGGTTCCTTACTGAGGATTATAGCAGCCAGAGCAAAATGATGACCATGTGCATCTTGTTGTCTAGAGATCTAGAACAGTGTTTCTCAACCACAAGGCCCTGGCATCAATTATACCTGGCCCTCGTCTTTATAGAAAAAGGAATTTACCTAGCCACGGTCTGGCAAAGGTTGAGAACCGCTGATCTAGAATACTAGGAGCTCTTCCTTCCTGTCTCATGTGTACAGATTTATAAAAATAAAGTTTTTGGTTGTCCTCGACACCTTGTCTACAGAAAGGGAGTGAGATTTTTGATCACTGCTCCATCAGTGTGGACACAGCCAGCAGTCAAGACACTTCATCTTGTCTTGTTGAAACAGTCTTGTATTGTTGTGACTATTCACTGTAGTTTCAGCCTAAGTGCAATCTCAGTTTTAAGGTTACTCTGAGGGTTTGATCAGTTTCAACAGCAAACCAAGAAGAGCCATTGAAGGAGTTTTAACACTTGAGATAATGGGGCTGGGATCAATGAAATTAAACACCAAATGATGGAAAGTCTCTAAATTGTAAAACCTTTAATTTTTAATTCCACTATCATTTTTCAACTGAGAGACATTTCCTACACTATGCCAACCTGTAGTCTTGAAATTCCTGCAGCACTGCAGTAACATTAAGCACAAATGTTGCATATTTGTATCAAAACTTCTGGATCATTAATTACTATCTTAACCAGACTCAAAGATGATGTTTTTTTACTTCCATTTTCGTTCAGGCATAGGAGATTGTCTCATATTCACAAATGAAGAAGAATGTATAAAAGATTATTAGAGTCCAAAAATTTCTGGGAAAATATACACCTGCCAACTAGCTTTCCTTAGATGTCAGTGTGAGAATATTTCAGTTGTGACAGTCATAAAAGTTTTATAGTCATATCTGCTATATTCATCTTATCCAGTTTTGTGTGCATGCGCTCATCTACATTTTGTGGTATGGGACTTGAATCTTCCACTCAACCGAAGAGACAGTTGGTGGAAGCAGAAATATTCCCACATTGGTGCTGTATGTTGGCAGTAGTTTCTAGGTTTTCCATGGTTGTTAGTTATCATTAGGGACCGGATTTTAATGCAAATGCACATTTCTTTCTTGCAACCAGAAAGTATGCTCGTTTGGATATATGTATGAATTACTTCATTTCTTAAATTTTGGACGTGGTTTGATAGTGCATATAAATGCATATTTTGCCTGTTTTATGAATTAGCATCATATTTTCGAAGATCTCTATTTATACTGCATATTTCCTTTTTAAAATGTTTATCATATATATATTTTTTTTAATTTTATGTTCAAATTTTCAATCATGGTTGTGTATATACAATTTTTCTTTTCCGTATTAGAATATGTTGCATATTTGACTCAACATTTTGTCATGATTTATGTTTCTGATGCAATACCCAGGACGGGACTTCCCCGATCCCTCTACTTGTAACCTGCCTCATCCGTGTACCATCAAAGTGGCAGCGAAGAGATTAGTTGAAAGCGTTCACATGTAGCCATGAGGTTCGTTACACTTCTTCATTTGAAGGTGGGGGTCATTCACATTAGTGGCGACTAGTCTGTAGTTAAGTTTGTTTAGCTTTCTGTAGTCATGCCAAAAGTGAAAGAAAGCCAGAAAACTAAATTACAGCTGTATCAGCGGGAGTTCGAAGGAGAGATGATAAGTATGTATAACAAAATTTTTTATTGCCGAGCGTGTGAGAAAACAGTTGGTTGTGAAAAACGCTTTCAAGTGCTTCAGCATTTGAACACTAATATACACAAAGAGAATATTAAAATTAAATCCATGAAAAGTGCTCCTGTTCAAAAATTGCTTAGTGAATTTTCTAATAATAGTTTTTCCCAGTTTTCCTTTGATTTATGCCAAGACTTTTTAGCGGCAGATATTCTGCTGTGGAAACTAACCAGTCCTACTCTGAGAAACTTCATAGAGACGTATACACAGTGCAGAGTGCCAGTTGAATCTACTGTGGGCAGAAATTACGTGAAGCAATGTTATGATCTTAGAATTGAAAGCATTAGAGATAAGGTTCAAGATAATTTTGTGTGGGTATCAATCGACGAAAGACAAGATTGTGAGAGAAGGTTTATTGCAGATTGTATAGTTGGATTCCTTAACCTTTAAACGACTAAAGTCCCCATATGGGGTTGCAAAAATAAAGTCAGCGGTACGAATGACCCCATATGGGGTCGCACAGTCCGCGCGTGCGGACGTTATTTGAAATACATTTTTAATGTAGAAAATAATGTCCTACTTATATAATTTTTGGCCACCATCTGCATGGAGTGTCTGTCTTCCCACCTGCATCATCTGCCGGAATGTTGCCTTCGTGTGGAATTCTCAAAACAATCCGGAAATGCAGAGTCCGATTTCGCACTTCACGC